GTAGGAGTACGTGGGTGGTGTGTGTGTGTGTGTGTGTGTGTGTGTGTGTGTGTGTGTGTGTGAGAGAGAGAGAGAGAAGGGGCGGGGGGGAAACCTGGTCTTGCAGCCTCAAATATCAACAGAGAATAACCATTCACCAACTTCCTCTCGGGCAGGAAGAAGGCTGCCAGCCCTCCCAAAGCTTCTGTCTTACAAAGACCAGAGTATTCGGCTACCTTGTCTGCTGCGTTGTGTATGTGCTCTGTTCTGATGAGTAGGACACTTGAACAAGCCAAGGCCTCATCTTTCTTATTCCCTTGTTGCAGCTAGGCTGTCTCCTCATTTTCAGTCCCTTTTAAAGGCACCTGGGTTCTTTGCAAGTCAAAGTCCAGATGGCTAGAAGTAGCTAAACACTTAGAGGAGCCAGTATCTTGGAACCTGCCAACTGTGCAAACTAGTCTCTTGGGCACAGCTGTCATGTTCGGTAAATAGTCTGCTTTTATACCTGGCCTTACTGTTGAAATAATTGTTAGTTAGAAATTAAGAAAGTGTCCCAGTATCTAAAACTAAAAGCAATGTAGGAAGGGGAAAGAGTCTACCTGCAGCACTGGGGGAAATGCATGCCACTTGAATCCAGCAGGTGTCTGTTCCTCCACGGCACCTTCTGTTGTCGTTTACTTCTGGGCAGTGTGATTGTAAAACACTGCCATTCCATTGCAGTGGCATTTCAGACCTATGCTATCCACGTGAAAATGGCCACATAAGCTGAAAACTAGCAGAAAACGGGGATGCTGGTATAAAGTACATCCATATCATTACCACAGAGGGGTATGCCAACCACCAAAAATAAATAAATAAAAAGTCATCTCTAAACCTCCCAGGAGGAATTGGATAACTATCTGTATGCCTACTGTATCCTTGTCACATACAATCATAATGTAAATGGAACCGCAAATGGAATTAAACACTTCTGCTTTTAATATTGAAGACAGAAAACCAGCCATGATTTCAGTCTAATTATAGAACATACAGCTATTGTGGTGACTACACTTGTAAAATAACTTCACTTCCCTCCATGCAGTGTTTACTAGGCCTGTAATAATGGGGACTAGAATAGGTTGTAATTTAAGATTAAATAGCTATGCACAGTTAATATTCTAGTAGATTTTTGAGAAAAATCTCTGGAAAACCCCTAAGAAACTGATTGATAGCTAAGAGCTCTGATTAAAATCCTTATTTTATTTTGGAAAAAAACCCATTCAAAGTTCTGCTATTACTCAAAACCACATCCAAAATTATGCACTAGGGTAAATAACCTAATTTAGTATCTGTGACTAGGGACCTCTTAATGCCAACAAGCAGAGTCCACAGGGGTGCATAAGGGTCCCAGGGATCCCTAGGTTTGGTATTGAAGTTTTCTGAAAGCCTGTGTCACACTGATCATCATAACCTTTGCTCAAGGTATGTGTGGATTATATGTAAGGAGATCCGTAGCTATATTGGAAATTATGTTTTTAAGGCCTTGTAGTTAAAGGCAGGTGACCTGGAGAGTTCCCCAGACAGAAGGTGAGATGCTTATCTCCCTAGCAGACCATCGTGTATTGTGTGTCTTACACAGAAGTCTATTAGAATAGTGAGTCGAATGCTAATGAAGAGATTGTGGCGTTTCAGAAGGAATAGGTAAGCAGAGGAGGAACTCTGTTTTATAGAACAAAGGACTGGCCTAATATATCTAGGGGTGCAGAGAGAGACCTGGGCATCCTGTGAAGACAAGCTCCCGGCAGGCTTTGCCTTATGAAACAGGCTATCAGCCATCCTGGTTGAAAAATGCTGTGAGAAGGACTTTGGGTAAGCAGTATCTTATTAGACAAGAGGGGGCATCTTGTTAGTTAGTCAAGTTTAGGCACTAGAATGCATGTTCTGATTTGATTTTCTATGTAACACTGTTTTCCAGTATTTGTTTGCTATCCTATGAATCTCTGTTCTTTGTTAAATAAACGTATCCTTTTCTCTGCACACAAATTTAAGCACGGCGTGTGAAGTGAAGCTGTGTTCTAAGGTGTAACTAAGCTGCCGTGATTGTTCCCTTGGGAACAGCGGGTCTGGTCGTTCTGTGGGTATTTAGTGGAACGGGAGTTGGACGCTGCAGGGAGGACGCCGGAGTTGGAGTATGGCTATCGCTAACGTGTATGAGGGATGGGCTGAGAGGGGAGGATTTGTGCTGTCTGTGGCTGGGTGAGTCAGGGAGTTGAGCCCTGGCAGGCACAGATAAGGCTCCCTCACGCTACGGGTGGGTGGTAGCGAGGTGCTCCTGGGTACCCTTGGGAAGCGTCACAGAACCATCCCCTTAATAAAATGCAGCATAATCAAATAATAAGCAGACCAATGCTCCATTCCTTGCCCTGCTCCTAGGGCGCGTTATCTACAAACAAACATGCATGCTGCTTCCAGTGTGGCCTTCCACAAATCTGGATTTTACACAGTAGCTATTTTGAAAGACACGTGGGGAAAAAAACTACTTTTCATCCCAAGATCAGAGTTCTATATAGGCTTAAATATATTTGAATATGTACATACACGTATATTTGCTAATGTAATTCTATTTTTTCTGACGTTAACCTGGCTAACGGCGTTCCTGACCCAAAATTGGGGAGCTGTTTCAATAAGGCATTGTGATTGAAAAATGCCGCCCTCTGCTGAATGTGTGCACAAATCCCAGGTTGTTACGACAGATACCGCGTGCCGTCACTGTTCAGTGTCCAGCTTAATAAACCCCTCCCTCTGCTGAAAAACATCTGGTAGGTGTGAAATTATTAAAGCACATACAATACAAACACAATTGCATATTTGGGAGATATTGTACATCAATGGAAGGTGCTTTACAACATGGTATTTCTTATTAATTGTATTTCTTAAATGTGTGTGGATGGGTGTATGTTTAGTGTGTGTGTATATTTATACACACTTTGTTCCTGAAACATGAAAATGTGCTTCTATGGAAAAATTCTGAGCCAGTAACCCTGCCAGGAGGGTTCATAAGTCCTTCCCCATTGCCATTAAGCAGAAATTCTATCTTCAAAAAAAAAAAAAAAAAAAAAAAAAATTACTTCGAGCATTGTAGAAAAGTTCAATGGAATAAACTATGACCGTGATCTAATTGCAGGCTTCCAAGCTGGAAAGTGCTGCCGAAGCTGGAAAGGAGGGATGTGGTTAAGGCACTGAACTGCAACTTGGGTCTTGGGTCACTTAATTGTTCTGGGCCTCTGTATACCCATATGTAAAATGGGGATGGCAGTGCTCTCTTTGGGCATGGCTAACTTGCAGATGTAGAGCGCTTTGAGTTAAACCCACCTTCGGAGAGCGCAGTAGGGAAAGCGCTGCAGTCTGGCCACACTGACAGCTTCAAGCGCACAAGCGTGGCCACATTTGCGGCATTTGCAGCGGCATTAGGAGCGGTGCATTATGGGCAGCTATCCCAGCATGCAAGTGACTGCAATGTGCTTTTCAAATGGGGGGGGGGAGTGGAGCATGACAGGGAGCATGTTGTGTGTATGTTGGGGGAGAGAGAGTGGGTTTTTGGGGGGCTGAGAGCATGTCAGCATGCTGTCTTGTAAGTTTAGACAGCAGCAGACCCATCCTTCTCCCCGGCTCTCTCTCTCTCTGTGACACACAGCATTCCCAGTAACGGCTTGCATGCTGGCTGTCAGAAACGGGGCTTTGAACGGGCATTTCCGCATTCCTACAGAAGTTCAAAACAATGACAAGAGTGGCCACTTGACTTAAGGGGATTATGGGATGTTTCCGGAGGCCGATCAGAGCGCAGTAACGCAACACCTCGTTCACACTGACGCCCGGGCGTTGTAGCCAAGGCGCAGCGAACTTTATTCCTCTCGTCGAGGTGGAAACCAGCAGCGCTGTAGCCGCAGAGTCAGAGCGCTCTACGTGCCTTGCCAGTGTGGACGGGGAGTGAGCTAGTGCGCCTGGGGCTCCTTTATTGCGCTGTACCTCGCAAGTGTAGCCAAGCCCTTTGTCTCATCTGTTTAGACTGGTGGCTCTTTGAGGCAAGGACTGTCTCTTCCTATGTGTGTAAACGGCAGCTATCAGGCTGGGGCCCTGAACTCAATTGGGGCTTCTAAGTGCTATTTGTAATATGAATAACAACAATTGTAACGAATTGTGCAGCTATTAATTCCTGGTACTGACTTGCTGACCAAGGAGAAATAACTTGCCAGCACTAATTTGTTTAGGGGCAAAAGACAATTTTTGCAGCACTATTTCAGTGTAGAAACAAGCTCTGGCAATAGGTGTATTTAGTGTGGTTTGTTGAGTCTCTTCCCCCCGCCCAACGAACACAAAATGAAGTGTTTGAGTGAGAGCCAGCTGAGACGAGTGTGTGTCAAATGGTGTGTTGATTTCTTCATCAGCCAAAGGGGGTTGTCCAGCACAGAACGGATGTCGGGTTTAGTGATTCAGATGGTGACAGGAAACCAGAGACCTGCTTACAGTCCCCATGAGGAACCTGTTCCAGTATTGCTGGGTGCTTCCGTGAGGGGAGATAGAGGAGAATGAGGAAGCTGCAAAGAACTGGCTGATGCTACAGGTGAGATGGGTAGGGAAGGGGGTTTGGCTGGGAGTGGGTAAAGCCTGCTCCGAAGTCCACTGGAGTCGGTGGGAGTCTTCCCATTGACTTCAATGAGCTTTGGATCAGGCCCTAATTCAGCAATGATTTTGGGAGGGCGCTTGGAGCTTTGACTTATCCCTGTCAAGAAGGACTGCAGCTAGCTCCTGTCCTTCTGTTGTGTGTGGCTCTTTGTGGTGGGGGTACCGGTGGAACGTACATAAATTCCACCGTGCGAAGAAGGTACCAAAATATATTTCCCCCAGCAGCATTTTACTCACACGAAGAGCCTGCTCCAAAGGCCATTAGACTCCTACCGGCTCCTTCCACTGCGTTTGGGTCAGACTGTAAAAGTGGCTTCACAACCCCTCCCTATCTTCCTGCTGATTGATCCTGGCTGATTATTTTTATTCTGCCCTTTATATTACACCTTTATAATATGAAATCTGCAGTGAGCCCTCGGTTTTGCGGGTTCCTGTGTATAAGTTATATGCTAGGCTTATCTAGCTGCTCTCTCCAGCAATTGGACCGTAGCTTTCTGCGTACGACTCCCGACTTCAGGGCTCCAGCTGTCTGCCATGTTTTCCCTCCAGAAGTCCAACCCTATGAAAAGTCTGAGCTGTAAATACACTTTCTGGGGTTTCCTCCTGTTTCATGGCTTGTGTGTGTTTGAATTTTCCCACATACAGATGCCTTGAAATGTCTACCAGGTCTGGTTAGAAAAAAATAAAACCCTCTTCATGCCAAGTTGTTCTTAAGATCAGGACAGGTGTAAAGTGTTCTTGAGATCTAGGTTCATTGAGCTATGCCCCAGGGGGCTTAGCAACATCTGGGATAATTAGAGAATTTTGTGACACATTCTCTGTCTCAGAAAAGTTAATAGAAGTATTTTATTCCATATACATGCTTATATTGCCATTCTGAATAGCGAGTCCCTCCCAGGAGCTGTGGTGATGACTAACCATTCAGCATGGCTTCAGCGTTGCTTGTGTCTTGACAAGTAATGGGTAGTTATCAGATATTTTCTTATGTAAGTGTGCAATCTCCAATGCAGAAGGTGATAGACTTTTCTTTAGCATCTTCTGAGGCTGTCAAAGCACTTTACAAGATGCTAAGGGATTAACTAGTTCATAACTGGAGGCTCTTTATCATTCTGTTTTATTTCACCTGCTATCTGATTCCTTCCTTAACTCTTTCTATGAAGCTTCTGCATTTGCTCTAGCTCTCTCCTTTGCTATGTCATTTTATTCTTGCTTGAACCATTCCATGACTGACATCCACAATATGTATTTGACATACAGTGCTGGGTTCCTTTTGGGGAAATTGTTCTAATTCTTTGAAACCACTTTGCAAACACTTACTACCAGTACAGTGCTTATTCCCACCAACTTCAGTGGGGCTAAACAGCAGCAAACACTCCTCAGCAATCGGTTGTTTTCAGGATCAGGCCCCTTAGCCCTGATCCTGCAATGGGATCTAAGTGGGCAGAGGTTGGTTCCCCATTGTCTTTCATGGGGCATCGTGATGGTCCCAGGATTCACCTGCACATTGCAGGATTGTGGCCTGGACATTGTAAGTCTGAGATGAAGAACCATTGTCTCCTCTTTGTTTTGCCTAGCTCTGAATTCAATCCTGATGCTGAAAACATAAGATTAACAGGATGTAAAACTAAAGGGATCATTGTGATAATCTACTTTGACCTCCTGTATTACACAGGCCCTAGGACTTCCTAGATTAATTCCTGCTTGCACTAGAGCATATTTTTTAGAAAAACATCCCATCTTGATTTTAAAATTTCCAGTGATAGAGAATTCGTCACAACCCTCGGTAAATTGCTACAGTAAATAATTACCTCACTGTTACAAAGTTGCCCCCTTTTTCCTTTTTGTCTAGCTTCACTTTTCAGCCATTGGATCTTGTTTATACCTTTGTCTGCTCCATTGAGGACACAAAGCGTCATATGAATGGAGGCAGGATGTTTTCATGTATATTTCTACAAAGTTTACAATTTCAGGCTTTTGTGCAAAATAAACTTTGTAGGTTGAGCTAAGATGTATGGATATAAAGGGCCATATAAGCACTAAACTCTTGTGTTTAACCTGAATTGATTACATATAGACACAGAGAGAGAGAGACAACTACAGTGGGCATATGTAACATACACCCAAATGGAACGCAATGTGTCAGGAGCAGGTTATTTATTTATTTATACCCTTTGAAATACGTGTAGATTCAGGCAACTCTTTTTCCAGGAGGAGGTAGCTTGGGTAGATTGGGGTGTGTGTGTGGTTGCCTACTTAAAAACACCAAACAAAACAGCAAATCGCATGATTGTCATGCAATCCATCAGAATCAGTTAGATAAAAATCTGTGTGAAAGTAATAATTTACCAATTCAAATGTTTATAGAATCATAAAAATGGAGAGTTGGAAGGGACTATTTATCTTGTTTGTTCCATCTACAGCTAACATGCATCCACTCCTCTCTTGGCACAAAATACAAATGTTGTGTCTACTTGAACATCTGTCCAGGGCTATCTGGAAAACACGTGAGCAAAATGCAGTTCTAGTTTAAGTGGCTGCAACTTGGTTTCCATTTGGGAGCTTGAGCTGAATTTAGTCTGTTTTCCTTGACAGTGTTGCTGTTTGTGTCAGTAGTGCCCAGAGGTGTCAGTCAGGATCGGGGCCCCGTTGTGTCGGGTGCTGCACAAATACACACGAAGGCCTTATCTTTGCTGCTGAGACTTTCCCCAAACTCAAACTGATTGGAACTGGTGTGGACAAAGTTCTGGCAGCCCGATCGCTTTCTGTAACTGGTTTTGAAGGCTTAACTATAAACGGGTTATAAAAACAGTTGCAGTCGCTGGAGCCTGGCCTATCCTAGGGCTTTGACAGTTTTTAAAATCAGTTCGAATTTCTGGGGAAATAGCTAGCATAGATGAGGGCAAAAGCGAAGGGTCTTTCTCTGGAACTATTAGAAGCTACTGAGTTGGGGTGAGTACTGCATCTGTTTAGCAAGGATTTAGCATAGCTGTCAGTCAGGGGGGATCTGCGACCAACAGAGCGGTGCTGGCAGAAGTCCCAGGCATAGACAGTTACACCATCAAAACAGTGCTTTTACTAGTGCAGTGTATTTCTCGCAGGGGGAGGGGTGATTTTACTATATCAGTACAAAGCATGGTTCTGCTGGCCTAGTTGCATCCACACAAGGAGCTCTTTGCCGTGGTAGGATACCGGAACTCCTGTACCAATAAAGTGCCCCTCGTGTTAGACGTCGCCTTAGTATGCGTGCTATAATTCCTGGAGGGAAGCTTTTCAATCAGCCAACCATTTGAATTTTTACTCCAGCAAATCACCAAACCATCTTAATTCTTTTGATTTAAAAGCAGTGCGGGTTATGCAAGTGGCTTTCATAACCATAATCTAAAATGGTGGTGTGTGGGGGGGGTGGGGAAGGGCGTGCATGACCCTCTACTTACACCAGCCTCTCAGGCAGAAGCCTGTATTTTATAGATGAGATTTATAAACTCACTCGGGTATCAATTTCAGCCCTTATCTTGCCATCAGGACCAAGATGGTGCCTTCACAGAGCCCTGCTGCCTTCACTATAATGATTTCTAGGGTTGCCAATTTTGGTTGAACGTATTCCTGGAATATTCATCACATGACACAATCTTTAATTAAAGATTAATCTTTACTTCCTGGAGACTCCAGGACAATCCTGGAGGGTTGGAAAGCTGAATGATTTCACAGTTCTCCGCTTGGACCTAACTATAGGATCAGGTCGTAACGTCCAACTGCTGAGACGCCTTTAACCAGAGCAGCCCAGATCACAGGACCTAGCTGGTATAGACTGAAGGACACTTGAAAACTTCCTTATTTCATCTCCATTAAAATGAGCATCGTTGTTTGGGCAGAACACCCTGTATTTGAAAAAGGAGAGTCCCCAGGCTGCTGTAGGTAGGTGCCCTGCTTTGGAAAGTATGCTTCATCCTCACAGGGGTGATATGGAATGGAAACTACTAGTAGTGTATCCACCCTACTACTTGCTGTTCGGAATGGAATAAGCATGTATGGGAAGACATTCTTCCAGAAACTATCATGCAGTGTGTGATTCACAGATGGTTTCTTGCTCTTCTTCAGCCTCTTACAATGTTTAAATCTAAGCATTAGAACACAGTGACTATTAATGGTTCCAGCTACCTAACTCTTACAGGGGTCTCCTGGTTTGTGTGAGGACATGTGACAGATCAAAGAGAAGCTTGAGAAACTTTAAAATGGGCCAAGCGTGCAGAGCTCTCTCTGAGGCTACATCTACACTACATGGGGGGCGGGGGGGGGTTGATTTAAGATACGCAAATTCGCGTAGCTGAATTCGACGTATCGCAGCCGACTTACCCTGCTGTAGGGACGGCGGCAAAATTGACCTCTGCGGCTTCCCGTCGACGGCACTTACTCCCACCTCTGCTGGTGGAGTAAGAGCATTGATTCGGGGATCGATTGTCGCGTCCCAACGGGACGCGATAAATCGATCCCTGAGAGGTCGATTTCTACCCGCCGATTCAGGCGGGTAGTGTAGACGCAGCCTGAGTGTTACTCCTAGAGAAGGAGTTGAGCCATCCCCAAACTATAGGGAATCCTGTTTTCTATCCACACTCGAATTTTGCAGATGGCCCTCATCTTCTAAATGACCCCACCCCAGAACCCTCTCTGCTCTGAAATCCTCTGAACTGTGGTTTGTTGGAAACCCCCATAAAAACGTGGCTGCTTGAGCATGTTGATTCTCCTCACCCATTTCCCAAAGACAGCCGGAGCAGGAAGAGTTCAGCCTTTCAAAAAGACATCCCGTTGGTTTCTTTTCCTAAAACACAGCAAATGTTACTGCCCTCGCTCTGCCGGGTCGTAAATCCTTTTGTTAACTTCTTCCATTAGATCTTTAAAGAGAGAGAGGCTTGCGTGTTTCAGCATCTCTCCACTCTGGGGCTAAGGCACTACAGACAGACTGACAGTCATCGTACGCACTTGCTCCCTCACGATCACATGCCAAGCAGCTCATGTGATGTCTGCTTGACATGGAGATTCCAAGACTCAGACTACCCTTCCATCCTTGCACAGTCATGAACCTGGTCATGCTGCAGGCAATCCAGTGGGCTTTTATAATGCATTTATCCGGCTGGGGACATTTTTTTTTCTGATTTGGGGTGTTTTATTAGTTTTTAGACCAATTCCACCCCTATTTCGGGAGTGCAAATTGCCTCTATCTGGGCTTGGATTGAATTATAACAGAATGTAGTGTCGCTGGACTTTTGGGACTCTGCTTTCCAGGAGGATTTTATGTCCACAAACAGTTTCTGACACTGCAAAAGTGGGAAATTTCAGGGATTCGGGGAGGGTGTCTTGTAAGAAAAAGCTCTTCTCAACATTTTGTTGTGGTGGAATCATTGAGTTTTGACAGCAATAGCCTGTCTGGGGATCAATTTTGCCCCCTTTGTAACCTTGCTAAATACCCAAAATACCTTTAGACCAAGGGCTTGACCCTGCACCACTTCATGCCAAGGGGAGGTTTCCCCGCTTTGAATCAGTAGGACCAGGACCTAAAAGTTTCATTGTACTCTGCAGGCCTCATTGATAATCACATTTTATGCTGCTATAGTAACTCGCATCCTGAAGCACTTCACAGGCTAAGTACCTGTAGCGCCGCAGCAATGCAGCCGCCTCTGGGGTGGCCAATGGCAGTCCGTAAAACAGAGAGAGGAATAATCTAGAAATTACATGGATGCACACACAAATGAAGGGAATTGAATACAATGATGGTGGGGCGACTGTGGCTGGGGGTATAAAGAAGGGGGAGTCCTCAGGGCTTAGGCAGAGTGCTGTTGATTGCTCACAGTAGCTGTTTCCTCACAAGGCCTGTTTCCTGCACAAACCTCAAGAAGAGACACTGGGCTATGGCTTCCCGTGGAAGGAGAAGATGATATGCTGTGAGGACAACAGTTGGTTCTGTGGTGGGAGCACTCTCCTCCTGCAGTTCCTCTTACAGCCAGCTAGTGCAGTTACTAATTTAAAATCCCGTTCCCGAGACACCCCAACCCCCACTCCTTCCTGGGGGGGCAGATGCTGGCCTAGCCGAAGGACAGTCACAGCCCTTTGAGCCTAAATAACTCCCTGCCCACTGCAGGGAGCAGAGATTTTAAGTGGGGCACGTAGAACCTTTATTTAAAAAAAAATTAAAACTCTACCATTATTGCCTGAACGGCTGCAGTCTGTAACATGGAATACTTTGGACCACTCATGGAGAAAACTGAGGGACTTCTTTTTCTCTCTCTGTCTGAGTGCATACAGATAGAGAAATACAGAATGTGAGAAGAGTATTCAAATGCCTAGGAACTGCAATGTGGCATCAGACTAATGGTCAAATTAGTCCAGGATCCTCTCTGGCCACTGCCCTTGGGCTACTCATGTACATAAGAGTAAGCGAGTGTTTCAGTTCTTTGCTGACGAGCGGCCGGAGTGCTTAGCACCTCCCAGTTCTAAGTGTGAGCTATGATTATGAAATGAGAAGTTTCTTCCTAAGCACGAGGAGCTGGTGATTTCCTTATGCTCTGAGGAATAAGGGTTTATAGCCCGGACTTGGTTTTTACTCTAACTTTGGGTATTGCTTAGGAGAATTTCCAGAAAGTCACCGGCTCCAGCCATGACTTGCAGCCCTAGGGAAAAAGCTTGTCTCTCTCGCCGACAGAAGTTGGTTCAATAAAAGGTATTACCTCACCCACCTTGTCAGCCCTAGGAAAAGGGATTGCAGGAAGCTATCCTTCATTGTGCATACGTGTGCGTAGGACAGATGTACAAAAACCCTGGGCCTGTCCATACCCCGGAAGGCAGATGTGGCGGGAATGGTTTCCACACACTGCGGCCATAGAATCGTTTCAGTACCCATGTAAATATCACAACATTCTCTATGAAGGCGGAAAGAACTGACAAGGTGGAGAGAGGGATGTGGAACCTGTCAGTGAAATTCAGGGAGCTTTAATCCCATCCTAGATGAGCTGAGAGGGATTTAAGTGGTTCCAAATTGCTATGGATTAATATTGTCATCTGTAATGACATGCTGGCCTTAAAGTCATTGTGCACATGCTTGGAAAGTCAGATGGCTTTGCCAGGACCTGTGCGCTGAATGCAGACTGTCTGCCGATAAACTCTGCTCTAATGGGGAGAGGTTACAAGTAATCCTTGCACACCTGCTGCAGTTCCTACTGTTCTTTCTGACATCCAGGTGCTGCTGGCAGAGAGAAAGCATCATTGTCTCCAGGTGATCATCGGCCTGAAGTACTGGACAGTCCTTTCCTTAACTTCACCCAAGGCCTGGTTCCCAGGGGTTCCCATGAGAGCATGGATGGCCCAGTGGTAGAGTCCTAGCTTACGGAGCCAGGTGACTTGGGCTCAATTCCTTCTTTGCCACAGCCCCCCTGTCTGATGTTAGGCCTTCCGTTAATCTTTCTGTGCCTCAGTTCCCCCCATCTGTACAGCAGGGATAGTAGCACTGCCCTGCCCCATAGAGAGGGTTGTCAGGATACATTCAAGATTGTGAAGTGCTTGGATGCTGTGGTAATGGGGCCATCTTGGGTGCGTTTTTTCCAACCTTCACCTGTGCAAAGTGGCTGTAAAAGGATAACCAGTGGTGAGAGTGGGGAACTCTGATTTGGTAGCACTTTACACCCGCTTCACAGAGGTAAAGGCAGGGGAGAATCAAGCCTTCTGTTTTCTCTAGTCCTGGGTAATGATGTGTAACGCTTCACATTTTTACGGCTGAAATCCAAGCAAAAGAAAATCCAGGCGGAATAGTGAGAAATATTTGTTGTTGTCGAGGCACTCTGCTAAGGGGGTGGCGGAGCAGTGGAGGCCCCATGGTTTGACCCATTTAAATGCAGAAAAAATATTGGAGAATATAGCACAGAGAGCAATCTTGCATTAACAGGGGGAAGGACTGGATGGCCTAATGTGTAGGTCTTTCCCACCTGCTAGGAAACCCTACCTGCCCTCCATCGTTGTCTCTCCTGGTTGTTTTTTAATTAATAAAATTATGGGGGCGGGGGCAGTGTGGCTTAGTGGATTGGGAGTTGCCTTGGGAGTCAGGAAACCCAGATTCTCTTCCTGGCTCTGTCACTGACCTCCTGGGTGATCTCGGGCCAGTCACTTGCCCATCCTGTGCCTCAGTTTCCCCATCTGTAAAATTGGGATGATGATTATTTTGAATGACTTGAGGTAGCACCCACTGTGTGCTAGATGCTTTCCAAATGCTTAAGGAGAGCCCCTGCTCTGAGGACCTCACAATCTAACCATAAAGATCAGGGAAAGGGGAATAAGAAAAAGCAACTTCTACACAACTTAATGATGATACTTAGATCCCCTTTGAAAGCACTTTTGGCTCTGTGGGTGAAGGGAGGGAAGTATTTGGCTCTTGTGTGAAAGACTTGTTGAGCAGACATGAAATAGGTCTTGTTTGTGCTTAAACCCTCCCAGCCACAGACGTGCATGAGGCTGACACTGCTGTCAAGCGCTGACAGGTTCGGTTAATGTTTTTCTCCTCTGCTGCATGTGTTTCAGGCCTGACCGCATCGGAGCAATGAGCCAAGTGGAGCTGTTCTGGGCTGCGGCCTCACTGATGCTGCTGGGGGCTCTTGTGAGCATGTGCATGAAGTGTCAGCGTTCTGGTAAGACTTTCTCCCCCCGCCTTGAATCAGGGGCATCTTCAGCATGAGGAAATCCTGCATTGCTCAGTCTGCTCGCCTATGCCAGACAGCTACGTATCTCCCTGCAGTCCCAGTGTGGGCTGGGCATGGTGCCTGCTCTCCTACTCAGGACTTAACTGTAATGGGTGGTTTGCCTGAGCAGAAAGGTTTTGCTGCCATTCAGTATTGCAGATATGATCCTCGCCAGAATCAAGCGGAGTCTGATGTCCCAAAGCAGGTGCCTGGGCTCGCGTTTCTCTCCTGGGCATTTGCAGGAAGGCTAGATCTAGACATTAACTGTCTGCCACCCGCACTCTGTGCAGCGTGAGCTCCTGCTGCCAATTCTCCTCTGATACACTTGCCCCGACCCTGCCGTGTGCATAGCGAGTACTGCTTTTCCTGCTACTGAAATGGTGGCTGGCGGGAAGCTGGTGCCTACAGGCAGTGCCCACCTGTGCGGCTTGCACCCTTCTTCCCCCTTCAGCCAGTGCAATCCCCTACACAGAGCTAGAACTCTGTAGAGCTGGAATGGAGTAGGGAGGAAGATGGATGGTGGGGATTTGCCTGGAGCCCTCCAGATTCTAACGTAACCATGGAAAGTTAATACAGCCTGCGTGTGGGCTTGCGACTTTTACTCATCCATGCTGTGGAAGCTTTCAGGGGTGGTTGTAGGGGCAGTCCCTAGTGGCACAGCCCCTTCAGAAGTTGTGCTGTATTGGGGCCAGTGGGAACAGAGGCAAGGAACCATTGATCAAGGGGTTGTAATCCCCGGCTTCTTACATGGAGGGAGACAGCAGGAGAGTCCGGGGTTCCCTCTCCACCCCAGTCAGTGCAGCTGACTGCAGGATGTAGAAGGAAAAGCTTCAAAGCCTTGGGGATGGGGAGAAATCCAAAAGCACTTCACTGTGGCAGGTTCACTAGGAAAGCAAGACACTCAAGAAGTCTTATTTTGAAATGGAGACGTTCTGTGTGTGCATGGGACCCGTGATGACAGGCTCACAGTCCTGCAGTACATCAAGGGAGCCTTGCCAAGCGTACTTGCCCTGCTCTGTCGCTGAGCGAGCCTTATGCAAAAGAATGCGACCACAGCAGCAATACGGCTCAATAGTCCCAAGCAGCCAGGCTGCTGGACCTGACTCTGTCTCTGTTCTCCTCCAGCAAAGGATCTACATCAGGCAGAGCGCCGACTGGCTGGCATTTCATTGGTGGTGGTTGGTCAGTGGAGTTTAGCTCAGCAACAACGTTTATACTGAAATTAAAACTTTCCCTTCCTAGCCAACTCCCCCTCTGTCAGGGGCTCTGGACTCGATCTAGTAGAGCTTTGCCATCTCTGACCTTTACAACTCTGTGATTCATTATCATCTGCCTTCTAATGCGGGGAGGGAGCATGCATCTCCGAAGTGGCCTAGAGCCCTTGCATTCAGTATCACATCTCCCACCTGAATCTCTGTTCTGCCGCTTCATCTCTCAGTTCAGCACCTGTGCGCAATGGGGCAAATCCATCTCCGAGGCCATGGAGATTCTCCGGGGATGTGTTTCATCCATTGTCTTGTGGTGGTGCGGAGCCATAAAGGATCTCCCCAGGCTGGTTTGACTAGGAGATGTTGGTAATTAGTGCCAGAGTGGGCTCCTGGTACCGGGTAATCATGGGTGGGTTTTGGCCGCGCTTTGATTGTGTTTTGCAGCAGTTTAATAAAGTTGCACTGATTTGGCCCAGAGTATCATTCCAAGAGGTCGCAGACAGGAGGCGCTTTATGCTAAACATGGTGCCAATGGTTTCAAAGCAAAGTCTGGCATTACTGATCTTTCTTCTGCTACTGGCATCCGCCTGTCTGGCCATTGTGATCATTTAGGACAATGGGATATGGGGACCCTCACCTCCCACCCGAAGGGACCTGTTGTCTGAGATGGAATGACTCCTTAAAGGAAACCATGGGTCAAATTCATCCTTCATGGAATTCCACTCAGTTCATTGGATTTGTACAAAGGATGAGTTTCTCCCATGCTCTAGAGAGAGAAAAACCCAAAGCAGCCATGGTACTAAATTTGGAGAAGTGGCCCTTGCCCAGCTTACGGCTGATCCTGTGAGAGGAAGGATGGCCTACTGGTCAGGGAGATAGCCTAGGGTTTGATTTCCTGCTGTTGCACAGACTTCCTGTGTGACCTTGGGCACGGCACTTAAGCACAGGTTGTTAACATTATTTACGTGCTTAAAGATACAGAGAGGTGCCTAGTGGGATTTTCAAAAGCACCCAACTCCCATTGTTTCAAGGGGAGTTAAGTGCCGAAGTTCTTTTGGAAATTCCACTGGGGGCCTAAATACTTTCAAAATCTGGCCCTTGGTCTCTCTGGGCCTCAGTTTGCCGTCTGTAAAATGACGATAATAGCACTGCCCGATCTACAGGGACAGTAAAGGAAAGGTGGTGAGGTGCTCAGACCCTACAGTAATGAGGGCCAGCAGAGTACCTAAGAAGTGAGGTGTTCAGCATCTGCTGCAAGGTGCCGAGTGCCCTCACCTCTTATGCAAGTCATCGGGAACGGAGACTGCTCAGCTGCACAAAGGAGCAGACCCTTGGAGAATGCCGCTGACAGTAATGCTCTAAGGTTTGCTACTGAGCGGCTTGCTGGGCACAGACTTGCAAGGCCGGGCTAAACTGCATTCCATGCTGTTGGACCAGGGATTAATTTGACTGATCCTGGTTCCGATCCTCCAGATGTTGTTAAAACATCCCTCAGTTGGCCGACGGGATATCTGCATTAATCCAGCGCTCTTTCCTGGTCCTGGCTGCAGGTTTGATGGAGGCACTAGTTGAAATTCTTTCAGAGCTGCTGTTCTCCAGTTCCTCTTGGTGTCTAAATTCTTGTTAGCTCATGTTGTCAAGTTTTTTGTCTTCTTTCTGCATTTGAATTCCTAATTCCTCACCCATTTTGATGATCTTCTTCCAGCTACTAAACAGGAAAAGAAGCTGTGCAAGCAGAGGAAACTGTAAGTTACCCTTCACTATCCCATTTTTTTCCCCAAGAGGTCTTCATAGGGAGGAGATTAGACCCCACACAGCAGCTGGGATTAGAGCTCTAAGCATCCCAGATCTGCACATATTAGGAAATCTGGAGGTGAAAAATAGCTGCCTCAGAGTATTAATGATAGTCCACAGTCCCATAGTGCCCAAGAACATAGAATGGATCAGAGACCGAGGAAAGCTGTGTAGTGCCCTTAGAAAGAATAACATGAAATTAAATGACAAGCTATGACCCTGGGCCTGAATGATGTACCAATTGGCTTTAATAAGAGTGTTGGATGAGAAGGGTTAGAGGAGCAAATTAGTATGTTGCAAAATGGTGCCACCACATAGATTTATACTAGGATTAAGGTAGGTTAACAACTTTATTAGGTACAAAAACCTGTATTTAAACAATAACATGTGCTAGCTAATAAGAACATATGCTAGCATTAAACTACCACACCTACAATGTCAGCTAAGTAAGGAAACATGAGTTCTCTCTCTCTCTCACACACACACACACACACACACACACACACACACACACACACACACACACACACACACACACACACACACACACACACACAGGGCTCTGGAAGGGCCCAAGGATGGGCCATATTGCGTGATGGGCCATATTGTGTGCTGCTGCCCTGCTGCTCCATTTAAAAATGACTATGCGAGAGGCTTTTGGTGTGATGTTTGGCAATTGATGGAAGAGCTACCGCTGGGCTCTATTCCTCTGAATCCCATCTAGGGTTAGAGCGATGTCCTGGCTTGCTGAAATTAAACAAAGAGCCTGGATGTATTCCTGGTCCAGTGAAGTCAGTAGCTAAACAACCACTGACTTGAGAGGGGTCAAGATTTCACGTTCCATTTCTATAGCTGTTTTTGTTGTTGTTGTTGCTTTTTTTGCAACCCCAGTGACACACCCAGACAGTCCCAAGGAATCTAAACAGGGACTTTGGTTGAAAACACCCCTGTTCGCTACCAAAGTGCCAGCTGTAGGAACGGGGCTAATCAGAATGAAGAGAAATGGAGTGATTTGCTGTCTGTGTTAGATTAATAGCTGCGCTACTGGAAGAAAGAGAGATTTTCGCAGGGACAAAGGGGAGTTGGGTGCCCAGTGCTCACTAAAAGTCAGAGAGTTGAAGGCCAGAAGGGACCGCCACATCATCTCGTCTAAGCTCCTGTCTATCACAGGCCACCAACACCCACCAGCATCCGCACACCAAACCCAACAACTGAAATGAGACTGAAGTGTTACAGCCCACAGGAGACTTAACCATTATGTGTGATGGGGAGAATAGGAGGGGCACCAATGCCTGAGGCCCCCACAATGGCAGGGAAATGATTAAGTGAAGTATACCCAGATTATCCTGGCAAGTGACCCACACCCATACTCAGCAGAGGACGGTCAAAACCCCCAAGGTCACTGCCAATCTGATGTGGCTCTGCATTTTAATTTAATTTTAAATGAAGCTTCTTAAACATTTTTAAAATCTTATTTACTTTACATACAACAATAGTTTAGTTATATATTATAGACTTATAGAAAGAGACCTTCTAAAAACGTTAAAATGTATTACCGGCACGCGGAAACTTATCAGAGTGAATAAATGAAGACATGGCACACCACTTCTGAAAGGTTGCCGACCCCTGAGCTAGACCCTGTGCATGTGAGCAAGAACCAGCCAGCCAAGCACCTGAGAGAGAGAAAGAATGCTCGGTGCCACCTCAGAGCCCTGCCCCTCCCCGTCCAACATCCCATCTCCAGCCGCGACCATCGTCAATGGGAGCTGAGTGCTCAAATCCCATGAGGGCTTTGAAAACCTCCCTCAATGTATGTACCCACAGTACCAGATACTCTTTAGTATTACAGCTCTGCTGTATTCCCTTCCCTTTGGTATGTCACCTTCTTTTTTTAAATATTACCACAGCAAAATGCATGATCAACAGCTCTTTTACCTTTATTAAAAAAAAGTAAACAACATGATGCTTGCCTTCCGAAAAGACTGAATAGACCCAAGGTATGCGAGAGGTTAAACTTTCCTTCTGGGCTTTGTGGACCTGTCTCTAGAACCTTTTGAATTCTATTTCAAGTCTGTACTTACTTTATGTCGAAATGCTTTCATCGTGGGATAGAAAGAGTCAAAATCATCATTGTTTTCTGGACCAGGATTATCTCTTCATCACACATGGCTTAGCCCCTATCCTTGGGTCCCCTCCTCAGCTCCTGTTGTGTGTTTAAGGGTCATTGGCAATGCTCCCATTGACGTCAAAGGTCACGATCAGACCCATAAAGAGGCTGAAAATAGAGCTGGGTGACTTTATTTTGACTAATAGTTTGTTTGCTGAAAATGCAGTTTTGGTCAACCTGAAAATATTTGTGAATGTGACATGATATCACCAAAAAGCTTTGGCCAAAAAATATGTTTGGGACATAGGCTCCATTTGTAACACAGCCAGAGGAGAGGGGCGAGGGAGAGGAGGAGGAGAAGATGATGGTGGTGCCTCCTGAATACCTATCGTCCTGTGGCTAAGACACTCACTAGGGAGTGCCCTACTCATTGGACCATAGGGTATTCTGGGTCGGGTCTTTCTCAGTCTCTCCTGTTGAAGCTGTTCCACTTTGTATAAAATACGTGACTAGTCACCGGGCCAGAGAGAGTGAGAACGATTCTATAGCCCAGAGAACTGAAAAGCCAGTTATTTGCCCAGCTCTAGTTGTAAATCAAACAACTTCTATGCCCTCCTCCAAGAAATATTAACATGTAAAGTGATCACGGAAGCCCCTTTCTTTGAATTTCGGTTGTAACAGCCGTCGTGCTGACGTGCTGTGCAATATAAGCCTCAGCTTTCCTTAGGCTCCACTTTCATGCCCTTAGTGGCTTCTGCCTCCATCTTATGCTTTGTGATTTTAACAATACGCCCCCGGCCCCCATTGCATGTCTTTCCCTTTAGTACATATTGCACTAGCCAGATCTTTCCCTGTATTTTCAGGCATGAAAGCCAGCCGGGGTTTCAGGTGATACGATCCTATTCAAGTGAGTATATATTTTTACAAAGCTCTATAGCAGAGGTTCTCAAACTGTGGTCCATGGACCACCAGTGGTCCGCGAGCTCCATTCAGGTGGTCCGCGGATAGTTCCCTCTAAGATATGTGCCTGGGCGGCCGCACACAAGAGAATGAAGGGCCACCCAACTAATTAGTGGAGCTGCGCAGGCGTGCCTCCACTAATTAGGTGCCTGGACCCTGGAGAAGACGTACATGTAAGGTGAGGTGGTGGCCTTGGGGGGATTGGGGGTAGGTGGGAGGGGACAGTGGGGGGAATTTGGGATGTGCAGGGCTGCAGCGTCCAGAGAAAGAGGCGACTTTTCCCAGCTCCGGGGCTGCAGCTGCCAGGGAGAGATGGCCCTCCTTCCCAGCCCCAACTCGGGGGCTGCTGTGGTGGGGGAGAGAGGGAGAGACACGCCTCCCTTCCAGCCCCAGCTCGGGGGCTGCCACGGCGGGGGAGACCCCTCCTCCTTCCAAGACCCATGTCAGGGGCTGCCGCTGCATGGGAGAGAGGGGGAGACCCCCCCTCCTTCCCAGCCCCGGCTCAGGGACTGCTGCGGTGGGGGAGAGTGGGCACATCCAGCGCATTAGAAAAGTAAGATTACTGATATTAGAATATGAGTTGTGTGCTTTTTTTGTAGAACAAAATAACGTTAATTATTATAAAAGTTGTTTTTTTATATAGCACTTTTATCCAAAGTGCTTTACACTAGTTAGCTAACGGTACAAACAACATTTGGAAAGATCATTAAGTGGTCCGCCGAGACCCTCTGCAACTTTCAAGTGGTCTGTGAAAAAAAGTTTGAGAACCAATGCTCTATAGGTAACTGGAAGAATCTTGTAGTTATTAAGTACTGAGAAAGTTTTCCAGGCTGCAGTTTTTGCAAGGATACCAATTTGTGTCTTTTGTTTTCATGACAGTGTCCTGCAGTGCAGAGAATTAAATCCCGTCTCAGAGAATAATACATTACAATTGGGAAAGCGTGTAAGGCCTAACTGACAGAACTAGAAGGCTCAGATTTTCAAAGCAGACTTAGGTGCCCACTTGGTATTTGGGTACCTAATTCCCCTAAGCTCCTTTAAAATCCCAGCCTAAATATTTAGTGTCACATAGAATCTGTATCGTGAAATGTAACAACATATTGGCTTAGGCTACAGGGTCCCTGCTCTTCTGAGCAGAAACTTAAACTGCCCCTGAAAATGACAGGGGTGGGGGGGGTAAAACACTTGAACCCAAATTGATACGAATGACTCATTTATCCTTGCCCTGTCATTGCTTCCTGCGGCACATTTGGTTACAAGCTGACCTTTTGATTTCATCCTAAACTGAGCTGCTGATTGGGTCGGTATTAAAGGTCAAACAAAGAAGGTGCCGGAAGCTAAGCTTGCCGAGGCACTGGCTTCCCGTTGCAGTCAATCTAAGTACTTCTATCATCCTGAGTGCAGTAATATCACAGCACCAAACAAAGGCACCATCACTTGGGCCCTTGTTCCTTTCAGTCACCTCAAGGGGACTTTCATTTTGAGCTTTTCTTTCCTCTCTGGCTGCCCCTTCTTTCTTTTTCCCCCTTCCTTTGTCTGTCTTTCTTTACATTTTCTATTCTTTTTTTTAATGATTTTCCCCTCTTCTCTTTATTTCTCTTCCTATGCCATCTTCTGCTGCTACCTCCCCTCCCCTGCTGTTTCGGTTTGGGTTTTGGGAAAGCTAATCTGAAAGAAAGAAGTGTTATGCCTGGCTCTGAAAGGAGCAAGATTTGTGCAAATGCGTTACACGGTCTTGAGCTGACTATTGAGAAAGCTCTGTCTTTGGGTTCTTGAGGCTGTTTCCTAGCAACTGATGACCACAGATCTCTAGGGAGAGTGTTGTCACATTGAGAGAGGGGAAAGTTTCTTGGCTAACATGAGCCAATCCAATGGAGTGCATAGGACTGAGACCTTGGAATGTGACTGGCGTTCTAATGGCCGCTATTAAAACAAGCAAAGCACTATGGGATTGTGCTCCTGAGGAGATGGGCCTGCTGCATTTTGAACCAATTGCATTTCGAAGCTAGATACGGTGAATCTACGGTGGCAGTAGTCCAGCCTAGAGAGCATCATGGCCAAGTCCGTGTTGGACAGGATGTGGTGCAATCTTCTGGCCAGCTGCAGCTGGAAGATAACGTCTTTTGCAGTGGTTTTCATTAGAGTATCTAGCAGCAATGAGGAGTCCAGAAGAGTGTAGATGCTGCAAAGTGACATGAGGATCTGAATAACAAGGCTCCCGCCCCGGGGTGAGACACCACGGTGGGAGTTGGATTTTCAAAGCATTTCCTTCTCTCTGCCTACAATACCTCTGTCTTGCTACCTTAAGCAGCTGTTTTACATCCAGGTGCTGACCTCTGATAGCTGAAAGATGGTGCTGCTAGCTCAGAATGTAAATGAAACCGAGATCTGGGTGTGATCCATGTATTGCTGGCATTTGACTTGATGTCTCAGTTTTCCCCAGCAGCGAGGTGCTGTGACTGTCTGGGATGGGGGAAAACATGAGTGAGTGCTCTGGTGGCAGAAGAGCAGTTGTCCAACAATACTGTCTGGGAACAGCCTGGAAGGAATGGATTTGGGTCATCACAGCAGGTGTCCATTGACTCCTCCAATATCTTTAAAATGGGACAATGCTAAATCACGATCAACAGCAACAAATGCTGTGGAGAACTCCTGTAGTAGGAGCTGTGGATATCCTGCCTCTGATGATCCATGGGTCCAAGGAGTGCTGTTTCTGTTGTACAATGGAATGTATTCCCAGCCACAGAAGGATTAAACCAGCATAGAGAGAAAGGATAGTCCAGTGGTTATAGTACCTGCCTGGGATTTGGGAGACCTGGATTCAGTTCCCTCTTCTGCCACAAATTCCCTATATGAGCTAGGGCAAGTTGCTTAGTATGTATGTGCCTCAGTTTCCCCATTGGTAATATGTGGAGATAATAGCAATTTTCAGCCTCACTTGACTACTATAGTGAGGGGGGCCAGAGAAGTCCCTAATATAGATAACTAGAACTGGGAAGAGGTTTTTATGGTGTGGAGAGAAATTAATTTAAAAATGCACAAAAGTGAGTTGCAGCAACTTACATTTAATAATACTTTGCCTTTCTGCAGCCTTTCATCCCTGGAGGAGAGTGAGAATTATTAAGCAGTGATGGGCCAAACAATCTAAGAAATCTTTATTTTAACAAGATCTAGGACAATGACAGATGCAACCTAACCTCAGGAGAAGTTGCTATTGGAGCATCTAGGACAGTGGCTCTCAAACTTTTGTACTGGTGACCGCTTTCACACAGCAAGTCTGAGTGCGACCCCCCCTTATAAATTAAAAACACTTTAAAAATATTTAACACTATTATAAATGCTGGAGGTGAAGCGGGGTTTGGGGTGGAGGCTGACAGCTCGCGACCCCCCAGGTCATAACCTCACGACCCCCTGAGGGGTCCCGAACCCCAGTTTGAGTACCCCTGATCTAGGAGAACCCATAGCTATAATTTTTAGAGAGTGGAAGTCTATAAAAAAGAACTGCAGCTTGGGGATGGAAACTCATGCAAATTTGGAGAAAATGTCAGCTAATTTGCAGGGGGACCAGCCTAACTTTTAGGACTGGAGCTTTATCTAACACATATTTGTTTGCAGTGGCCTGTTCCTGTTGCTTGCAGACACGATAGGTTTCTATAGTCATTTCCTTCCCTGGCCCACCCTATGTTTTTTTAGGAAGGTAATTGAAAAAGTTCTGGATTTCGTAGTCTGCAAATATCTGGAAATCTTTTGCATTTGACTGCTCTGTGCTCAGTTTGCCAACGTGTCTCCTACTGCCATAACCTTCAACATCTGATTTTATTTTCCACGCCAGTTGCCGTGACAAGGCAAGATGAAATTAAATTGCCAGACAACATCCCAGTAACAAGGTAGGTGACAAAATAAGATATTTCAGCCAAAATTTGGGCCACTGGGTCCACCCAAACTTTGAGAAAATTGAGGATTTGGGTCCCCATCTGCCTTGGCCTATATTTAATTTACTGCTTATCCTTTCATAATGTTCTAAATCCTCTTGATATCTGTGTTCCAACTGCTTTTATAGCCTCCACGAGCATGAATCCTTAAAACCAAGCCAGGGAAATGAACTGTCATTGCAGGTGAAAGGCAAGTAGCGCAGGAGGTCCTTGATTTTAACCATTTTGACATTGGGAAGCCCAAGCAAACTGATATGGAAAATATATGGCAGAAGATTGTCGCTTGAGTATATATTTGTTTATCCAAATCCCATCCCAAATACCCCAATTCCCGTTTCTTAGTCCTCAAAATGTCTCCTGTTGCACAGCACCACCAGGAAAAGCTCTGTGGAGCATGGGGATTGTTCAGCCCATTGGTTGGGGACCTCTGTAATAGCCAATATTTAATATGGTGTGTTTAGAACTGGGATTTTAGCTACTTTCCAGTGTGAATGGCTTGTATTCCAGGTATAGACCTACACCGCGGGAGAAATAGCATTTGCCGGAATCTGTTACGTTAATAAATTTCTCTCTTTCAGGAAAACCAATAAGCGACTGCAGGCCACAGATATTGATGGTAGGTATTTATACAAAAGTATCCATTTCTTTACACATTTTGTTATCTGCCCTGGGTGGGTTGTTACTCCAATACAAAATTAGTACGTGAGAATATTACAAATCTTTGCCTGTTTATATTGGCAAATGGAACATATATGGTAAGAGATCCCTGACTGCTGTATACGCCTACAAAGCTCACAGAAGTTAAGCCTGGGAGAGGATGTTCCATTCCCATTTATAGTCATCCATTTTGAATTCTGAATGGTGCATTATGGGGACAGGAGTTACCTTGGAAGTAAGTTAGCTATCGCTACAATCTACTCCTATAATAATACCTAACGCACAAACATTTGTAGAACTATACAAACAAATACAACGAACCTTCATGACGCCCCATGTAACTCATTACCCTTTGCATGATGGAATGTTGCCTAGATTCTCTATCCATTTTTTCCATGTTTAAACCCTTTATCTATGTGACTATTTCTCTCCAGCACCTCTCTCAGTCCCTTTGAAAACTCTATTTTTAGTTCTCCTTTTCTCTTTTCCTTTGAAACTAAGACCAACCTCCTGAGTCTTTCCACAATTTTGCAGATTCTTCAGACCTGGTCTCTGTTGCCCTACACTGCGCTCTCCCCTAAGCAGTGGTCGTCTTACTGGGGTGCGGTAGCCAGCTCTGCACACACTATTCCAGCTTTAATTTTCTGAGTGCCCATTGCTGGAGCATGTGGGCAGGTGACCTGGATTTGTGGAGAAGCGGAGCACCTGTATCTCCCAGAAATTTCAACTGGAGTTTTGGGTGCTCAATGCTTCTGAGAATCAGGTCCTAAGTGTGGTATTAAGTGAAATCCCTCTTCCCCACAATATTCAGTACAAACAGCTACCATCCCTGTCCTGCTGTGAGACAATATGCTATCTAGTCACTGGTGAACAAGGAGTTAATCCCAGCTCAGCTTTACCCTCTCCTCTTGCTTAGCTAAGGGCTAGAGAAGGGACTGCTTGTGAGATGTAAGGAAAATGCCCTTTCGAAGATCAGGCTTCTCATCCAATGGCCCTAAGACTGGGTTAAACTGCAATCCAGGGAGTTTTTCCTATTGACTTGCTGCTTATATTCATTTATTATCCTCCCTTCCCTTGCTACAAAGCCTGTTCCTTGGGGGGAAAGACCTTGCTGATTGCAAATGCTGAGCCCTTCCAACTGCTTAAACATCCCAATAATAATAGATAACTCAGTGATGGACCATAGCTTTCCCTAAAACATGTGTCTTGCACCCCACCCTGGTTTGATCTGCAAACCTGGGCTCTGTTGAAATACCAGAGAGGAGGGAGTTTTCACATCTTTGGCCCCCTGTATAGCTAGGGACTGTTCTCCAAAGCACCTTGCCTGCCATGAGGACAGAGTCCCTAAGGGTTCTGTCCAGGCACCTTTCTAGGTAGTATGTGAGGACCTCAAACATTTAATGAATGTCTCCTCAGACCCATATTAAGTCTGTCTGTCGTTATGCTCACTTTACAGAAGGGGAACTGGGACACCAAGATTAAGTGACTCACTCAAGCTCACAGAGGAAGTCTGTGGCTGAACTGAGAATTGAAACGAGCTGTCCTGAGTCTCAGACCTGGACCACAGCACCACCCTCTGTGACCAGGGGTGGAGTTTAGCGAGTGTCTTGGATTCTAGTCTCTGCTACTATCGCTTGCTACCTGGTGTTTCTGTTTTTCCTACAGTGCTGCACTGAGCTGATGGTGTTGGTGATTCTTCCTCTCTCACCCCCAAATCTATTTCCTCATTAGTGACCTAGGTGGCTCTTCCCATTAGAACATTTCCCCCAGATTGGTCCATTGTTCTACAATTCATTATTTTCCCCTTTCTTTTTATACTGAGCTCTATGTCATAGAATCATAGAATATCAGGGTTGGAAGGGACCTCAGGAGGTCATCTAGTCCAACCCCCTGCTCAAAGCAGGACCAATCCCCAGACAGATTTTTGCCCCGGATCCCTAAATGGCCCCCTCAAGGATTGAACTCACAACCCTGGGTTTAGCAGGCCAATGCTCAAACCACTGAGCTATCCCTCCCCCCCGAATTTCACATCTGGTGGCTCAATCGCCTCTGAATCGGATTTCATAGCCCCTGTAATTGCTAGCTAGCAAATCATGGCTAACATACAATGTCAACATGTGCTCTCTTCTAGGTGACAATGCTGAGCCCAGATACCAAAATTTCATGAGAGGTAAACATTATGACTGCAACATAATTCAATTAGACTAAGACCGTGGCGGACAAAATTCAGCCTTAGTATAAGTAACTCCCATTGAAGTCAAAAGAACTCACGCCCACTTATGCTAGGACTGGATCTACTCCTCTATTTAAAATAATAGTGGGAAAATGAAAAGCTGTGATCCCTGCTTTAATGTATGTGGGTGTTTCTGCATATTAGATGGGAGGTCACCAGCCTTTGGAAGCAATGTCACATTTTTGTTCCTGTCTCTTCTCTGAATGGAGAATCTGTTAGTATATGGGCTGGCTTCCCCTTGAGTTTCTAATCACACCCTGTCTGTATTCAGCTGTGTCAGGATATTTCTTAGGCTAAAAGATGTTCCCCAGCTGTAAAATGGAGGTCAGAATGCTGCCTTTCTCCTGTTTAGATTGGAAGAGCGGCAGGGACGGTCTCTTAGTAGCATCCAGAACACAACAAGGTTCTCATCTCAGTTGAGGCCTCTGGATGGTACTGTAATACAAATAATTAATAATAACAAAGGTAGCAGGAAGAAGGCATCTCCTGCTGTCCGAATTCCCTTCATTAGTATTTTATTCTTTAATGCATACGAATATAGTAATTATTCTGGTCTCGAGGTCTCCAGTAGCACAGCTCTGTAAAGGACATTTTATCTTTGGAGGAAGATAGGGCTGATGGGGGCACTAGCCCATTGTGATGCAATGATTAGAGTGAAGCAACCATCACAAAGGCCACAGATGATTATGTTAAAGCCCAAATGATGGCATTGCTCAGTCTGTTTTTTATAGAGGCGCTCATCAAATCCTTTTGTTTAACTATCCATGCCCCTTGACCAGGCCTCATTGTCCTTTAGGCCAGTGGCTGTCAGCCTTTCCAGACTACTGTACCCCTTTCAGGAGTTTGATTTGTTTTGCGTACCCCCAGATTTCACCTCACTTTAAAACTACTTGCTTACAAAATCAGACATAAAAATACAGAAGTGTCACAGCGCACTATTACTGAAAAATTGCGGACGTTCTCCTTTTTACCATAGGATTATAAAATAAATCAATTGGACTATAAATATTGTACTTAAATTTTCAGTATGCATACTGCAGACAGCAATACAAACAAGTCGTTGTCTGTATGAAATTTTAGTTGGTATTGATTTTGTTAGTGCTTTTTATGTAGCCTGTTGTAAAACTAGGCAAATATCTAGATGAGTTGATGTGCCCCCTTGAACACCTCTGCATACCCCTAGGGGTACGCGTACCTCTGGTTGAGAACCGCTGCTTTAGGATAACTTAGACTCTATGCTAAATTACTCTTTATCTAAAACAAAGCCCCTTAAATTCTCTTTCTCTGGGCCCTTACAGTACGTCTACACTGAATAAAACTCCCATGGCTGGCCCGCGTCAGTGGCCTCGGGCTGGTGGGACTTGGGATGCGGAGCTATAAAATTGCTGTGTAGATGTTCAGGCTTGGGCTGGGATCCTCCCACTCCCCCTGCCCCCCGCAAGGTCTTAGAGCCTAGGCTCCAGCCCAAGTTTTACAGTCCTGCAGCCTGAGCCGCATGAGCCCAAGGCAGCTGCCGAGGATCAGCTGCAGGTGTTTTATTGCCATGTAGACATAGCCATAGGGTCCAGCCCTGCTCCCATGGACGTCAATGGCAAAACTTGCATTAAATTCATGTTTAGTTCAGGGGTGTCAGGCCGGATGTGGCTTGCTCAATATTTTGAGCCTGCTCGCATGCCTGTCTTGAGGTGTCTGAGCTGCAGGCTTGCGAGTGACATGGCAGATGCCTTTTGGTCAGTGCACTTTGAAGTTTCTGGGCCGTGCATTAGAGAGCAGCAGGGTGGGGTGTGCAGAGGAGAAGGTGTTGCAGAATGGGGCATGGGGAGGAGACGGCGAACACCAAGCCAAGAGAACAGGAAGGTGAGACTGGTGCAGTCTGTGCATTGGGGGGGAGAAGTGTTAATTTTCCCGAGGCAAGAGGTACACAGATCCAGTAAAAAACTGAGGGAGAAAGGAAAGAGCTGGAATGCTTGTTTGAAGGGAAGCAATCGCCACAGATGCTCCTGGAGAATCTAACCTGGCCCTGCGTGTTTCTAAGTGCATAGACCTTTTCTGGATCAGTTTTGTGACTTTATTTTGATTTTGCGCTGTGAGAAATGTCCCTGAGACTGTGCTAATGGCAAATGATTTGTACTTGCAGAAGACAACCAGGAATTGGATGCTGCCTATGTGTAAGTCAATCTTTCTCTCATCCATCAGTACATTGAATCTAATCTCTTCAGTCTCCCTTGCTAATGGTAGCTTTGAATTGTAGGATGTTGCAGTGGGTTTAGTTCATCTTCTTAAAGAGGAAATTAAATTCCAAAGATTTGGGTTCCGAAGCAGAGCTTTGAAGATCATGACATTCATTCTGTTTCATTATTCAGATTGTGCACAGCTGTGTTAATTTCACACTCTCTCTAAGACCTTGTAATGGGCCACGTTACTGTGAACCATTGTTTCCGCTGTGAATAGTAACTTGCTAGTGCGGTTACTCTCAGCAGAATATGCAAGATCTCAGGATGGAAATGAAAAATCTGTCCTAAGTGCTTCTGAATTTGTCATGAGTAACCTATGGGAAGCCAGGTGCTAAGCAGGATACATGCACAGAGAAGGTGTTCCATGTCCAAGTTCTGCAGTTGTACATAACTCGTATTGAATATGATTTCCATTGTATCATATTAGCCTGTAGTGCAGTGCACACCTGAACGTGAAACTACACATCTCATAGTCTGTGTAGTATTAGAACCATGAGGAATGCAATAGGCTTGTTTCAAGAATGATATTGGACAAGGAGCCAATCACAAGAAACATACCCATTCCAGATGCAACCAAGATACAGTGCAATACATACAGAAAACCAAATACTGTACTTCACCTTCACGAAGATATTTACATCCTTGCATAGACCCACTACTGTAGAATCTACCTATTAGATTAATCACAGAAATGGACAGCGGTATTGATGTGGGTCACAGAAATCTCATTTAAAAGAAATAGCTTTGGGAGGCGCCTCTGGAAGTTTTGTATTTGGTTTACTCAGTTATAGACGTGTATTGCCCAGGAGATGAGGCAGCTTGTGATAGCTGTGGCAACTTTAAGGAAAGTTTAAGATTCTGGGAAGAGAAGGCTCTGTGGCTCTTTCTGATTGATTTGGATGGCTGGGAAATTGGGGTCCCAGGCATGAGTAAGGTGAGTGGGATTTTGCCCCAAGTGCCATCTCAAAGGCAAAAAATATCTATGACTGAGATGTTTTATCTTTTCCAGCAACCCTATTGCTTCAGATTACTTCAACTGTGGGATGTTCTTGAGACCAGCAAATGGTACGTTCACAAGACAGACAAATGAATGGCTGTTTATTCAATCCACTTATGGAAGCTAAAACCAATGAAGTATTTCCAGCCAGCCAGGTTGTAGCGTGGGTTTGGGATGAGCTAGAAACAGACACTTTTCTTCTTTTCTCTTTCTCCTTTGTTCCAATATGGTTTGACATAATTTTAATTAAGGAATAGACATGGGCAGCAAGGGGTTAAAAGTTATTGTGTCAGGGGGAATCCAAAAGGAGGGTGCTACAGAGCGGCAAAACCACTGAAAAGCTGTGCCACGCTTCAGGGCTATGGTCAGGTGCCATACTTCAATGCAAATCAGCTGGTTTATTTTCATTAAGCTCTGGTTGGCTTCAGGCCAGTGGCAGAGCATTGCCTAAAGCCGCATCGCATGTAGTCCAGAGCCAAAGCCCTGAATGTTCAAAGGTGATGCTATCCCTGCCTAACAGCAGCACCATCAAGTACTTGTCTCAGTGGCGTACAGTAGGTGGTGCAAACAAGATCAATCCCAAGCCCGAGCAAGTCAGGAAAGTGATTTGGGCACAGCTGTCCGTATAGGCCCCTACATTTACAGTGGAATTTCCTGAGGTTTAACATTCACGGTGGAATTCCCTGAGAATGGAATGGAATGTCCCAGGAAGAGAATGTGAAGTGCCACAGGTCTTAAATCTCCAATGGTCACTTCGTTTTTCAAATTTCAGAGTAGCAGCCATATTAGTCTGTATCCGTAAAAAGCACAGGAGTTCTTGTGGCACCTTAGAGACTAACAAATAAGCTTATGCTCAAATAAATTTGTTAGTCTCTAAGGTGCCACATGTACTCCTGTTCTTTTAGTTTTTCAAACCATACAATATTCTGTGTTCTCATAACTTGAGTCTAGGTACAGAAAGGTGCATCCACCTAGGCCCTGATGCCACACACACTTATAGATGTGCTTACCTGTATGCACTGGGAGGAAATAATCCCATTTGGCTACCTGAGGTGTCTCAAGCTACTCCCGAAAGTAAACGCTTGCAGGACCTGGAGGCTGATCCTGCAGCTCTCATCCTCACAAGTAGGCCCATGAGGGATGCAGGATGGTGCCCCAGATCTCTACTATTAGGAACACTAATCATTGTTAAATACAGAACAGATGAGGTAGCGAGCCTGGAAGCTATGTTTAGAGAGACATTGACTTTAACGGGGCTCCATGCAGCCGCAGCTAAACCCATTGCAGAATTGAAAGCTCTTCAGGGCAGAGGTTGTCTCTTTGTTATATGTTTGTATAGTGCTGTGAACAATGAAGCTCTGACCTCTAGGCAATACCTATTTTGTCTAGTCTTTCATGAAAACTGTGTCCCAAATTGCTTCTGCAAAACTAAATCCTGTAACACACTTAGAGTTAAATACGTTGTAACAGAAAGAGGTGTTTAATACACTGTTCTTAAAAGTACAAAAAAGAGGTTAACTAATTTAAGTCTGTCACCAGAAGACGGATGTGGTGTAAAGACCTTTAAAAAACTTCTGACTTATTTGTTTAATTATTATTCTTTTATATTGTGGTAGTTACCACAGGACTTAATGGAGATCAGGACCCCATTGTGCCCGATGCTATACATATGCATACTAACTGGCAGTCTTTGTCCCAAAAGCTTGCAATCCAAGCAATGTCTTTAATTATTTTGTTTTTCTATTTTATAAAACTAGTGCTTCAGGACTGTGTGAAAATTATGGGCAGGAGGAGACTCTCAAAAAACGCAATGTGGATGTTGCATGTGTGAAATTCTGTGAAATGGCCATTTTGATATCCCAAAGTGTGCAAAACCTCTGAAATTGTATCTGATTTTGACACCATTTTTGGATAATCAATTTTTTTTGTCCAAAAGAAATTTCAAAACGTTGTCTGTTTTCCACTCAAAGATGGTCTTCTTTTTGAGGGGGAAGGGGGGGAGAAAAGAAAAATACTCTTGGAGTGGGGTTTTTTTTGGTGGCAAAAATGTAACTATTTGGGGGGGGGAATTCAAAACGAAATGTGAAAATCCTGAATTTTGAGTGGTGCAGAGACAAGTGGTACTTTCGTGTTGTGACTACAGCATCCACTGACTTTATTAGCCTCGCACTTCCATTTTGTGCCATGGGAGGGGTTAAAGCAAGATGGAAAGTGATTGGCATGTCTATTTGCATGAATGAATATCTGAGAATCTTCCTAACTTTGATGTGGTGACCACATCAACTGTTCAGGCTTCAGTTACATTTTCTGCATCTGTGGATGTACCTTTCAGATAGTAAACGACAGGCAGTTGCTCGTGTGGTTTAACTGCCCATGTACACCATGGTTGCTTTTTAAACGGATTCTAATTATAAATATTATTAAATGCCTGCACTTGAGCCTTTGTCTCAGCCAATAGTCTCTCTCAGCTGTGGTGCTAGTCTGAAAATAGATAGTGAATGTGGGCTGAGAGGCAATGGGAAGCTACTCATCAAATGGAACGGATTCTTCAAAGCACACATTCAGCAAACCACGTATCGAGCATACGAATTTTAGTACATAAGGACTAGGGCCAGCTTGTGATCTCTCTGACATGGTGTAAGTCCAGAGCAGTTTCCTGGAGTTCCATGCTGAAATTGGAATCAGGCCTGTAAGATGTACCCGTTAATTCAAAAGCAATCTTACCAGCTGGCTGTGTGATTATAATGGCTTACTATTTGTATTCCAGTGCGGCCTGAGGGTGTTATTGGGGTTTTTAGAACCCTAAACAGTGGTAGCTTAATTATTTTATTTTGGGTGGTGTGAGGGATAAATTAATTGGAATATAGCAATTTTGTTTGATAATGATTAATATAAGTAAAGCAATGGGGCTATTTAGTTGTCACTGAGGCCAGAACTGGAAGACAGGGATGTTTCTCAAGTATCACTGAGAGGTTAATTTGGCCTGCAGAACCTTCATTACTGCTCATAATGTGTGAGATGGAAAGAACCCAGCTTGATTCTCAGATTCCAGAGTGAGTTTGCCGGGCTGGTATTTAGAAAAACATCTTTTAAAACCAGTAGTCTGTGCCCGTTTGATCGGGAAGCCACTGACTGACAGTAAACACAGACACCTCCCAACACCATTATTTTTTTTAGAGACCAATTTCAGAGTAGGTGGCACTTCAGGGATGTGTAACAGACTTTACATGTGTAGATTGCCAATTAAAATCCTGCCCAGGCTGGTAATGACGGAAACTTATTCTCTAATGGTTCGTTGGTGATCGTCTCCGTCCAATTCACTGAGAAGCTGTGTCCTTGTCCCAAGAAAACCATCACAGCTGGCACATCAGTCTCAGCAGAGAGGCCAAGGAGTGATTTGGCCATGGAAAACGAAGAATCCTTTCACCCCAGAAATGATCTCTATCTGGGTAGGTGGAGCAGTGCACAGCAGACGCAGGTTTCTCCACTGCCCGGCTGCCAAGTGGGCTCAGTAGGTAACATTGGTTTCAAGGGCTGCCAACTGGCACATTTGGGCTCGTCTATACATACAACTCCGACAACTTTAACTATACTAGTATCATTAAAGCAATACAACTTCCTAGTGTGGATACAGTATAAAAGGGCTTATCCTGGGCTAGCTTATTTCCCGTACAGGAAAGGAAACATACTATGTCCGTGGAAGACACTGTTATATTGGTAGAACTGCATGTACTCGAGCGGTTGTACCAGTAATAAGTATTTCGGTGAATAGTCACACCCTTCAACAACATACCAGTGAAACATTTCAGTGTAGATCAGGCCTCTGATCAGCTCTTAGTTCACAAGGAGGAAAAAACCCTGCACTTACAACTGTAGGATATATAACCTCTATATCATGCAGCAGACGCTCCCAGCCTCTCTACCCATGAAACCTTATGCCCAAATAAATCTGTTAGTCTTTAAGGTGCCACCGGACTCCTTGTTGTTTTTGTGGATACAGACAAACACGGCAACCCTTGATACCCTCTAAACACTGTCATGAATACCCAGTCTTGCTCTCCTTGAAGCCAACTGCAAAACTCCAGTTGATTTCAATGCAGGATCCGATCCCATGTTAAAGTGATTATACGAAAAGTGACCATGCCTCACAAACTCCAGTTCTAGCACAGTCTTTTACAGTGACCTTTCTGCTAACTTTCTTAAGTAGTGCATTTGTTTCTCTGTGGTAAACACCTCTTCTCCACAGGCAGCTGGTGCTAAGACTTAGTGTTGTACGCAGAGCCACACGCAGAGAGCTCTCACCATCATCCAACACATTAAGTCCTTCCTTTTTATCTCTCACAGAAAAGGAAGAGGATTCCTGTTCCTATCAAAATGTTGTGATTGGGGCATCCAATAGTGCTGAGTCTGGTAAGTGGCAGTTTTTGGGGGACGATTACTGTGTGTATTGCAGTAGTGCTGAGACGCCCCAGTCATGGAGCAGGGCCCCCAATCACGTCGCTTAAAGCTTTACTCACTTAGGCCTTGTCAAGGTTCCTTCCCCACTCTGAACTTTAGGGTACAGATGTAGGGACCTGCATGAAAACTTCTAAGCTTCTCTACCAGCTTAGATCTGCTTTTGCTGCCACCACTCCCAATGTGCTAAGTCCCTTCCCTGGGTAGCCTTGAGAGACTCTTCCACCAATTCCCTGGTGAACACTGATCCAAAACCCCTTGGATCTTAAAACAAGGAGGAATTAATCATCCCGCCCCTTCCCTTTCCCCCCACCAATTCCTAGTGAGTCCAGATCAATCCCCTTGGATCTTAGAACAAGGAAAAATCAATCAGGTTCTTAAAAAGAAGGCTTTTAATTAAAGAAAGAAAGGTAAAAATCATCTCTGTAAAATCAGGATGAAAAATAACTTTACAGGGTAATCAAACGTAAAGAGCCCAGAGGAACCCCCTCTAGCCTTAGGTTCAAAGTTACAGTAAACAGAGATAAACACTGTAGCAAAAGGTACATTTACAAGTTGAGAAAACAAAGATAAAACTAACACGCCTTGCCTGGCTGTTTACTTACAAGTTTGAAATATGAGAGATTTGTTCAGAAAGATTTGGAGAGCATGGATTGATGTCTGGTCTCTCTCAGTCCCAACAGCGAACACTCACCAAAACAAAGAGCACAAACAAAAGCCTTCCCTCTCCCCAAGATTTTAAAGTATCTTGTCCTCTTATTGGTCCTTTGGGTCAGGTGTCAGCCAGGTTACCTGAGCTTCTTAACCCTTTACAGGGAAAAGGATTTTGGTGTCTCTGGCCAGGAGGCATTATGGTGTGGTACATAGGAGGGCTGTTACCCTTCCCTTTATAGTTATGACAGGCCTTTCTTCTGAAATGAGAACTTTTATCTCTGGGATATTTTTTCAAAATTGTGGATTAATTTTGGCTTTTGATATTATATGCTGTGTTGATAACATCTCAGAATCTGATCACAATTAGCTTTATGCTGAATGATTACATTGGGTATACTGTTTTAATGGGCAGCAGTACCATCAACAGGCAGGTCTAACCCATGCCTGGAAAAAAAACAAACAAACCATGCGCTAACCTGGGAAGTAGATGAGATGGCTATGACCAGACATGGGAGTGGAGTTGCTCCACATTAAAATGCACAAGCCCACAGGTCTGACTGGAAACTCAGCCTTGTCCAAATGGTTACATTTTTAGAGGGTAGAAGTGAGACATTTCAAAGAACGGTTCCACATTCTTAGTCCACTTGCTTTCATTGCACTTTGCACACTTTTCTTGCTCACAGATGACGTGGACGACTATGAGAACAGCGCCTCTATAAAGATATGGAAACAATCAAATATATCAGGTATGTTCTGAAAACTATCGTTATTTAATATTTTTATGGTAGCACCCCAAGGCCTCCGTTAGGATTGGGGTCCCATTCTGCAAGCTGCAGATGAAGACATGACCCCTAGTCATGATAATAGAAACATTTTAAAAACTAGTTGCACATTGTTGCATATCTTAGCAAGGATTTTGAATACTGTCTTGGAATCTTTGTGCCTCTTGCCTTTCTGATATTTAAGGGAGCACAGACAGAGTTGGAAGACCTACAGTTTGACTGAGGTCCCCTGGCAGGCCCTTACAGAAGACTGTCTCTTCTCTTATTTCAAACCTTCTCAGTTTTTAACTCTCCAAGCTGCAAACTCTGCCTTGCTTTTGGAGCCCTAAGACCAGGAAACGAACAAGCAACAGTATCTTTGTATCTTCTGTCCCTGGAGTATGAAGCTCCCTGATGGGCCAGCATAAAAGCCTTGGTTAGGTTAACTTTTTAAAACAGGGGTTCAATTGGATATGTAGCTTCCCATGAAGCACATTGGGACACCTTTAGTTGTGAGATGCACTGTTGGGCATATTTAGGAACTTCTCATATCTGATTTGGGGATGCTCTAGACCAGGTGTAGGCAACCTATGGCACACGTGCCGAAGGTGGCACGCGAGCTGATTTTCAGTGGCACTTACACTGCATGGGTCCTGGCCACCGGTCCGGGGGGCTCCGCATTTTAATTTTAAATGAAGCTTCTTAAACATTTTATAAACTTTATTTACTTTACATACAACAATAGTTTAGTTCTATATTATAGATTTCTAGAAAGAGACCTTTTAAAAAGGTTAAAATGTATTACTGGCACGCGAAACCTTAAATTAGCGTGAATAAATTAACACTCGGCACACCACTTCTGAAAGATTGCCAACCCCTGCTCTAGGCAAACCAAATTAGCCCAAATTAGTGGATTTTAGCCCACGAAAGCTTATGCCCAAATAAATTTGTTAGTCTCTAAGGTGCCACAAGGACTTCTCATTATTTTTGCTCATACAGACTAACACAGCTATCACTCTGAAATCTAGGCAAACCGTTTCTTGTTTTTTGTGTGTGTGCCCTGTTTATAAATCCAGTAGATTGTAATGTCTCTGTCGATCTGTTATGATCTATTCTAAAAATCTACTGAAGGAACACTGCAAACTGCTGTTATGTACAGTCTTCAAGACTTTCCAAGGAGCCTTGATGCTGGAATCTGGTATTTCTTGGCACATACAGAAAAATGGCTGGTATGGAACATACAAGCTGATAACAACAACAAGAGTTAAAAAGGTTGGCAGGGCGTATAAAGATGTGTGTAGATCAACACATTTACTGATCAGTGCTTTCAATTCCCAATAACAACTCTCTACGTTTAGAAAGCCCAGATGATTATCCAGATTACGTTAACTCAGACGTTGCAGCTGTGCCAAACTAAAGGTAAAAATAGATAAAATGTTTGATGCATTTTTTGTAAACCCAGGGGTGGGGGCATATCTGTTCTTCGATAAGGATTTGCACTCAAACTTGATTCTACTGCAAGACGGTATTAGTCTATTTTAAAAGCAAACGTGGAAGGAGTGAATCTCTATATTGGCAGACTCTAAAAAAGCAGGGATGATGTTGCATGTATTGATGTATCCATAATGGGAGTAACAGCATGACAAGTGCTGATTGCCCCTGTTACAGAAATTAACATTTTTGGATCAGCTAGCAAATATCTAGTGCCTATAAAATTATCTAGTTGATGCTACAAACCAAGTCGTGGCTGTGGCAACGTTAATTATCTGATATTTGTCCTAAATTTCCAAAGCAAGTAGCCATTGTATGCCATTATAGTCCCTGTAAGACTATAGCTGAGAGGTACTAGGAGTCTGCTAGGAGTTAAAATGCATAGTTGTGGGAGCAGAACAGTTTTATCTTTAAAGATACTCACTGTCCACATCTTAGCAGCATTTCACAGCTAGGTGTCGCTCTTTGCTTTAACAGTAGCAAAATGACAGTTTTCCATGAGTGATTATTATAAAAGTGAATTAGTTCAGAAAGGGGCATGGGACATATTTTTTAGGGGAAATTAACTGAAGTTTTTCTTTTTGGTATGTGTGAAAGTTTTACTGAATTACAAGACACTAGTTTGGACAAATGCAGCGGGGAAATCAGATCTACATGAAAGCAGAGAAAAAGGCTACTTGATAACATTTGCAAGCAATTCTCCATTTGGTCCCCCCTTCCAATGGAATTTCAAAGAGGAGGGGATTAAATTTTCATATTAGAGAGGATTAATCAAGTGGTTTTGTTATGGGACTGAGCAAGTTCCAATCCTTGCTCTGACAATGACTCCCTCTGTGGCCTCCGACAAGTCAGTCTCTCTCTGCCTCAGTTTCTCTTTGTAAAATGGAAGGTACCTACCTCAGCAGCTGAGGGAAGGATTAATTAGACCTCTGTAAAGTACTGTAATTTAAAAAAATTTGATGGAAGTCCCCTCGTAAATCTCAGGTAAGCACTTAACACCACAAACAAATAGTAAACAACACTGAATGTTATAAATCAGTGGTTCTCAACCCTTGCCAACACACCTATGCTGACAAGAACTTCTAGTATAGACTTGCCCTTAGTTAGATGGATTTTCCAGGAATGATGGATTCTTAAATTATCTGGACTCCTGGCATCCATATATTTTTGGAACTGTTCAGAGATTATCAGTTAGAACACTCCCCATAAATTTTAAATCTTTATATTATTCAGCTCATACAAAAATCTACCTGAATGATAGCAGCCAAGGGAGAAAACCCTAGCACTGAAAATAAAATGCAAGCAGAAAGTCACTAATAATGCACGGGGTTGGGGGTGGGGGAGCAGTGAACTCACGGTCTTTCTTTTATTTCAAGGTATCTTCCCTACAACTGGAAAAAAAAGCTGTTGCAAAGCTGCGGAAGCTTATGTTTCATTTTGAAGACTGCTACACACACACACACACAGTGGAAAGGGGTCCTTTGATTCACAAGTGTAATGGAATAACCTGTTCTCCAAACCCTGCCAAAAGTAGCTAACTTAAAGGACATGGATGCACACTGCTGAAAGTAAATGCACTGGATCCAGAAGTCCCACAAAAATACAACTGGAAAAAGTATATGGAGAAAGCCCACCCCACTGCCCCCCAACAAGTGAATTTCAGCTGCTCGGTGCAGCAGTTACCAAGAGAAATGCCAAGGTTTTGTTGTTCTATCATATTTTCCTCCACATCCATTCAAGGGCGTGATGGCTTGTCTGCTCAACAATGTTTTCTGCTGTCAAGTGTGAAATGAATCTTTAAACTACTGAGCGGCAACGCAGTTGACAGTTTAACTTGCCAAGCTGACTCCTGTAAGGAGGTATTAAAGCTGATGAATTATATTTCTTGTTTCGTTCCCAATGCAGCAAAGCTCTTGGACAGACACTGCTTTCAACAGCGGGATCCAACCTTCCAGCCAGACAGCAAGTTTTTAGAATAGGAGTAGTTCTGTATAGCTAAGTAATACACTGAAGGGCTCACAAATGATGAAGGGCCAAAGGCTACTACAAACAAGATCACTGCAGCTACAGATAATATTCAGAGTGCTGACAGTTAGTATCTTTCCTTGTGCTTTTGGGATTTATTTTACAGCAATCCATAGGAGTTGAGACAGATAGCGGGGCACTGAGCTCATCTTTACCACATTGCCAGCCTCAGGAATTGCACCTGCTTTTCAGAATTGCTGACATCAGTGCTAGAACTCACACCTTGCCTTTGAACATGCTTCAGTTCTGACAACTAAAATGTTCATGAGCATAGCGTTTTACCTGGCAGCATTATAGCATGTGCTCGTTGAGGGTGAAATGCAGCTCTGTGCAGGAAATCAAGGAAAAGCTCACGCAGTACTTCAGTCTTAAGGGGTGTATGCCTGCTGCATAGGGGTAAACTTCACCCATGGTAGAGTGAGAACATGTAGGTAAACACCTAGTAAGGGAGTTCTTTTAGAACAGCAAGTTATGTGTCGGAGCAACTGTCTCCTGCCAGTCCTACTTACTGCTGGCAACTGGTTCACCAAGCTCTTATGCTCTAGCATGAACAGGTACTCTTTAACTAGCAGGGAAAAGGGTTACCGAAGCAATTTCCTCCCTTTTGGTACCAGTGACTAGAGAGAACCTTGGGTAATAAGAGTCAGCTATGAAGTGGAAGGTATGGATATGAAACGTTTCTTACTACAAATTACTTCACTCATGAAATTTTTGCTCTATTTGATCTAATCAGTCTATGCACAGTGAGAGTTAAGGTAGAATTTAAGCCTCTTTACAGATGCGGATTTAACATTTCATTTGTATTTGAGACCCCTTAATCACAGCAACAAGGTGCCTGTTACTTATGTGTATGAAACTAGAAGGCCAATCAAGCATTTTGTAATTAGTGATTGGGGGAAAACTTAATCACAGCTCCCACTAAGGGGTGTATTCCTGAAGTCTGCATAAAGGCCGCAAGACAGGGCCTTTAATGTAGCCCATGTAGGAAAGAAAACGATCTAGAACGTCCTTAACCTCTTGAAAGGGATATATGTAGTCAGTTTCAGAACAGGAGTTAAATAGGGTTGATTTTACATCGACATAAGTTTCCTATCAGTTTGTAGCTAGAATCACATTTCCTTTTTTCCAAAATATTCTTCTCTGCTGTGCAAAGGGCCCACAGAAATAAGTGACACCAACAATAGAGTGAGACAATAGACTTGGGTCCAACCCAAGGCCTAGTAAATCATTAAAGCTAGAGTGACCAGATGCAGGGCCGGCGCAACCCATTAGGCGACGTAGGCGGTCGGCTAGGGCGCTGCAATTTGGGGGGGCGGCGACCGCGGCGGTATTTCGGCGGTGGGACCTTCCGCCGGTGGCGCTCCTGACCAGATGTCCCACTTTTAAAGGGACAGTCCTATTTTTTGGGACTACTTCTTATATAGGTGCCTATTACCACCCCCCCCCGTCCCATTTTTTTCACAGTTGCTATCTGGTCACCCTAATTAAAACCTAATCTGAAGACTTATGCACTGTATAGACTTGTCTTGGCTCTTTTGTTGAAAGGTGAATTTCATCCAAAATGACTAAATAGAAAAGTTCTAACCTTTGTTATAGAAATATGGTTACTTGACAGACCATGCAAAATGTTATGTGACCGGTGATGATGGATGTCCAACATGATACCTCTCAAAACTGCCTCATTTTCAGAAGTATTGTGACTCTATAACGTGTCTCAACATTTCAATTCAATTTTGAAAATATTGGTCTCAGTTGTCAGAGAAGTGCAATTGTGTTGATGTGTCAGTTTAAGATTCTGATCTAATACTTGGAGGGAGACATTCAAATACTTAAAGTTTAGCAATAGTACAAGTTCCCTGGGATACAGTTAATCAAGTAACAGAACGCTGACTAAGTTCCAGGATTTAAACAGATGTTAGGCCAGGGCAATACAGGATTTATTGTACTCTGTGCTCAGCAGGGAGAGGTGAATAAACCAAGTAATATTTCCTGGAGCATTTATGGAAAATATTTGTTGCCTAAACAGGAGTTCAAAGTTGTATAAGATAAATGGGGTAGGAAAGTGATTGGGGAATAGAATCTGTATCTTCTCCTTTAATCTGCCAGTGTGAGAATGCAGACAAATCCCCACCTTCTGGGGGTCCTCTGTAAAGCGAGGTTAAACCCTTTCTTAGTTTTGTGAAGCACTTGAAAATAACAAGGGTACCTTTCATTCAAGGATCAGTGTGCTGGAACATATCCAGTAAATTTTACAAACAAATTATATTGAAGTGATTGGAATTCTACAGTGTAGCTTTTAAAACACCCCTTTGTCACCTATGTCCACAAAGAAAAGTATCTACAATGACAGATTGGTTGCCTTTTCAGAAATCTTTAATTTGTAGGTATACAGGGACTTCAGGGTATGTACAACATTGGCTGCCCGTGAATGGGAGTAACATCCAGTCTACGTGTTCCAGCAACAAACCAGGGAGACATGAACTAGCTCAAAGCTGAGTACATCTACAACCACATCTTCATCCAATCCTGGGAGGTCCTGCTGGAAGCTGCCGATGGTGGAAGGAGGAGAACAGGCATTAGCTGCTACAGAAGAGGGAGTCACCCTAGATTCTACATGTCACCAAAAGCTGCTCTTCTCTCCTCTATGGGAATAGGGAAAATGTACAGCTAGGATACCCCAGTGGAGGACACAATGGGGGCAAAGACCAACCCTATAGGGCCCTGGCCACTGTGCCAGTGGAAGCCCTTGAACAATGGACTAGTCTGCAATTGTAGTTCGTTCCCCTTGCTTCTGACTGGGCCTGTAGTAAATGCTATGAAAGTGAGGGCACACTGGGCCGCTAAGGGCAGAGCAGGTTGTCTGGAATACATGGAAAGAGGGGAAGGATTTGGGAAGTAGTTCAGTGCCTTTCATATCTTGCTTGTCTGCCTACTCTATTCAGATCGGTAAGCTCTTTGGGGCCAAGACTCTGTGTGTGTACAGCATGCAGCAGATTAGGGTCCCAACCCGGATTTAATAAATGCATAGTTTATAATTGTACTTGTACTAAGGAGTTGCTATATACAGTGAGAATCAGACGTGCCAGTGATGATGTACAGTTTGATAACGACTTAGTGAAATACTGGGTTAACTAATTAAATAAAATACTTTGACTCTCTCTCTTACCTGCTTCTAGTGCTGTCTTCATTTGCATTACCAATCAGATCAAGTGTACCTGTACTTTGGATGCAAAGGCCTCATTCACAGCTTCCCTCTCCATTCCAGTCTAGAACTACCCTTTCCGAAGAGGAACTTGTCACATCGTTCTGCCAAACTGCCTCAACTCTGTCCACTTTTTTACATCTGAAAAAGTTAAATATTTCCTAAACTGAAATCCCTACAGCCAATGAGATTTGTGCAGACAGTAATTCACTCAGCTCTCATGTCTCTTCCGTGAGCAGGGATGTACATAATGCAGCTGAATCAGGCAAGACATTTTTCCCCTGCCTACAGAAGCATGACCAGGTAATCAACAGCAGCAGCATTTAATTTGTCTTCCTTCTGTGTATCCATAATTCCTGTAAATTATGAACTTGGGGTAATTTAACATGGCTCCATTTCCAGAAGCCTTCTCTTAGACTTCCTGGAGAGGTGGGTAAAATTGTCACTCCATATTTATATTCCCTTTGCATTTTATACAGTTATTGCTTATGAGAGGAACGACTGTATTTGAACCACTTGCTAATTACTTCTAAAACTGAACATGGAAGGGCACAATAGATGCCTTAGCTTTTAGATGAATTAATCCAACAGGCAAAAGATCAGGCATTCTTCATTTCTAATGATTAAGTTAACCCAGGCCAGCAAGAATTGATGCCGAAATCTAGAATGCACCAGCATCTATCTGAGATGGGCACACACTTCAATACTGACACAGTACTTCCATGTTCAAAGGTTCCAAAGGCAGTATCCAAGATACGGTGTCACTTTGACTACATCTGCACTTTATTATACAAATGTTGTTAGTTGTATTAAAGGTGCCTACTGGATGGTTTCCCTGTTATCCACAGCACAGGTATAGCTTAGATCATGGCACCTGCTCAACACTAACCTAGTGAAATCACATGTGTGCAAGAGGGCAGGTCATTTTCCACAGCCCATTTCATCCTTGGCTTCACTGAGATCTCCAGTCATGACCAGTTGTGTGATGTATATACCTGTCCACTAGGAATGAGATTGAAACCATTTCATTTCAAAGGTCACTGAACAGCCATTGGCTGTTGAAATCGTTCATGGCTGTACTGACCAGAAGTTAATAGGCAGACCAGGACAAGGGGTTTTAACTCTATTGCTAATCATCTGTACTATCCAGTCCTACCCCACCGCTTTTACACCACAGATACAACCGTTCTCAGTGGATTTTAAGTTTATTTGGCCTAAAAAAAGTACAAAGTAATTTAAAAACAAATGCTGGCTTTCATTTTCAGGTTCAGCAAGAACAGAGAATAAGCTCACTGAATTCAGAATTTACTATATACACAAGGTTCAAGTATGCAGATAGCAGCTGGCCTTAAACACTGTAATTTCATACTTCCAGAATCAAGGCTGTAATTGCAGTCCAGTCAAATACTCCATTTAACTTTCTGCAGGAGCAGCCGTCTTCTGACAGAGCCTGGCAAGCAGTCCAGCCATCTGCAAGAGAGAATTCACCCCTTCTGCTACCTTCATGTGAGTATATCCAATTTCCTGGCAATACAAATATTAGGTGTCAAACTTCAGCTTTTTCTGTTGCTTTGTCTACATTTCTACAGCAAAGGGAGGCAGTTTTAGTGGAAGACTTTGACTTGTACTTTTTTTCCCCAGCAGCAAGAGTAGTTTGTCTTGTCTTTGTCCTGTGATAGTACACGTTGTACAGAGTCCCCAGACATGAACAAATTACATATACACCATATAGAATAGAGCTTGCCCGTCAGCTCCAAAAATGCTGGCCTCAAGTTCCCTGAGCCGAAGGAAAAATTAAGTTGTAGGGCTTATTTCTTCTTGAAGCCAGCCATGCTAGGGCAATACAACAACTTTCAGATAGATCAGGTCAAATGCTGCTCTGTGGTGCACGCATATCCCTCCCATTTTCCTTCAAGGAAGCACTATGCCTGTGTCTGAGGGCAGGATTTAACCCTATGGGGTCTGATTCCAAGACATACAATGATTATCACGTGTCAAATTAGAACTCAATGCCATTTAACCTTTAGTAAGCTACTGAAATAACCCAGACTTGATGACCACCTGGCCATGCTGCAAAAAACATTTATTTGACAGTTTTAGGGGAAATAAGAGTGTATGTTCCAGGGCCAAAGGCTGAAATGGTTATTTGAAGCTTTGATGTAGTGGCCGGCTGAATTTATTCATTATTTGAATAGGATTATATTAAGTCTAATTAAATATGGCACCTTGAGCTTCCATGGGCGTTTATTGTTAAAGTAACAAAAAAGAGTCCTGTGGCACTTTATAGACTAACAGATGTATTGGAGCATAAGCTTTCGTGGGTGAATACCCACTTCGTCAGACGCATGTGTCTGACGAAGT